AAACCATTGTCGTAATAAAGCTTAAAGCTTTGCAAAGATTTGAAATAGAATGCTAATCGTTCACAACTCACAAAATCATAAAACTATTTTGCCAAAGTGAATATAAATATATATCTCCAACTTAATACAGAACCGTTGACGAATATGGTGGATGCTGAATCCATTATCTCATGTGACTAAAATGTTCAATCTACTACGTTCTGTTGAGCAATCAGAAGGATCTAAACAAATAATTGGTTAATATTCATTGCATCTAAAATGATCAATGGAGCATATGCCATATTTAATTTGACGTGAATGAAAATTAGGCTGATATTTCCCCAACTCGATGACTTTTCATTCGCGTTAAAATAAAAATGGTGTCTTCTCTGACTAAGAGCTGTATGCTTGTTGGTAAATGATTGGGAAAATCAAGACACAATGGATGGTGTTTGACATCAGTGCAAGCAATTAAACAGAAAAACACATGAAGAGAGTGAGGACCAACAGCACAAAATCAGTCACATGACCCCACGATTAAATTAACTTTGCACTCGCCAAATAAAATATTTCTGCTTCATGAGGTAGTTGCTCGCTGGATTAGAGAGAGACCTCGAAAGTCCACAACAGTAGATGGCGGCCATTTTGGTGTGTAGTTATGGCTTCTCCATTGATTGCTTCCTCCGCAAAAGTGTGCCAAAATTCACCACAAAATGTGCAGAAATATTACATTAAAAATATTATTAAATGTATATAAATTATCACATTCACGATAATGTTTTGATTTGTCATGTTTATGTTGCTGTGTTTATACGGAATGGATCCGAGTACTGTAGTAGATCTATGCAGCCAGCAGGCGGTTGGTTTCGTTTTTTTTTTTTTGGCATTTCCATGTGGTCCTGTTCGGTATCGCAACTTGGCTTCTCTAAAATGTAAAAAAGCTCTTTGCTGTTGCACTGTACACATACTATAAAATTCAGATTTTTTTTTCTTTCATATGTGCTTATATGGGCTCCTTATATCAGTTGGTTCTTTGATGTCCTTTTGGAGTTTCTAACTGTCCTTTTTTGGAAAGGCATCTAAATTTATCTTGAAAAAAGCTTGCAGAAAATATAGATTTTTGAGAATCACCCTTCAATCTTTTGGTTTACTTTGCTGGATATAGCAAATGATGACAAAATAAACATTTGAAACAAGATAAATGGTCTATGCTTAATTTCATGAAGTGTGCGATTAATCGCAATTAATCACAGAAAAAAGATGTGATTAATCAGATTTAAAAATGTACTCGATTGACAGCCCTAATTTATATATATAATAAATATAAACAGTACATACACATATATTATGTAAACAAAAACTTTTATTTTGGATGCGATTAATCGCAATTAATCGATGCCTAGCACGAACATAAATATATAAAAATTAGGGGTGTCGATTTAACGCGTTAATGTAATTAATTAGTTATGGAAAAAAAGCCGCGTTATCATTTTTAACCAAGCCGCAACATTCCGGTCTCTCTCTTGAAACCAACATGTAAGCGACTTAAACTGCAATTCATCGACTGGCCACTAGAGGCACCAAAAGGGAGTCAATCCCATAGATTGATTTATTTTCAAGGCTTCAAAAATGCTCTTCAGATACCTACGGGTGACATCACGGACACTACGTGCATGTTTTTTTACAGTCTATGTGTAACAAAGTCAGAGATCAGGAAGGAAGAGGACGGGGTCGGCTTGACTGCTACTGGTGGTTTTATTTAGTTTTCAGTAAACAAACAGAACGTCGCTCTACCAGCACTCAATATAACACAGTGCATAAGCAATATAAACTTGGGGCTCTCAAGAGCAAATAGTTTCCACGCACACACATCCACCAGTCAGCAGTCTGTCCCTCTCTGTCAGCTTCTCATTTACCAGTCTCTTTATGCGGTCTCTCCACGCCAATTACTGAAACAAGACACAGGTGTTTGTCATTTGCACTTGACCCACTTACTCACCGCTCGTCTCCCAACTCTCTCTCCCGCTGCAGACCTCGCTGAACCACACCCACCTCACCACACTATTTTTTTTTTACGCAATTAATGTACCCTCCCTGCCCCACATATGTCATCTTACATTTCATAAGATGTGTTAGATTTGAAGCGGCACTGTGCATACAGATGATCGGTGTTTGACATCACAGTACCACGAGGGGGTTAAATGTCACTTCGATATCATGACTTTCAGGCTTTTACAATTAACAGGGGCTGGTTGCATAAACTGCTTAGACTAGACTTAAAAGGTTAGTCATCTAATTTGTTTTCCTCAATACTGCTCATATCTTTTTAAAGTCAGTTACAAAAAGGTAGATTGGCCCAATTTGAATCCGAAAAGTAAGACTGATTACCTCTTGGCTAACTGCTAGTTGGTCAAACTAGTTCTTAAGACACAGTCTTAACATTGTGGCTACGGTTATGCAATTGGACCCAGGGGACATATGTATCTTAGAGTCATTTGTCTTTGACTTGTAAAATGGCATCAGTGTCATATTACCTTCAATGCTTTACTTTGCAAGGGCTTTGATGGTGTGATGAGCACCATGAGAGACAGAGAAATGGACATTTGGAGAGAGAAAAACAGGAAGTTTTCGAGCATGTCTTGAACTGCTGTAGATCCATATTTTTCTCATCTCGCCTGCAGGAAAAATGAACGCTTAATCAGCTGTTAACGAGCTAGACACATCATGGGCGCTCACTGCTGCAGCAGCCTGCAGGATCGTTTTCCACCGTGTTGCTGTATTGAACACCATCCACAACAACACAAGCTGCAGCATTCAACACGTTTAAGTGCATGTAATCCAAAGCATGAAGATGACTAAAAATTCAATTATCATAATGATATATACATTAAGGCATTTAGCTATAAAGCACTACTACAAAATAACTAAATTTAGTAATGATAATAATCAAATAAAACTATTCCTCTTCCAACTAAAGCAGAGTGTGAGTGTTTACAGGTGTGTGCATATTACAGCTTCAAAAGTGGCTCAACCAAACAGATTTGGAACTATCCGTTTAAGCGTCAAACTGCAAACATGACAAGTGCTAAAGTTGACCAGACTTAATCCTTCATACGCTTCTCAAGATGTTTGTGAATCAATTTTAAAAGGTTTGTGTTGCAGGGAACTTTCTAGTCTTAGTTATGGACAAGCTTTGCAGAGGGATCGTCACCCCATCTTGGTCTTAGTTTGCATCGTTTGTCTTTGCCAAGGTTACGGCAGGGTGTTTTTGTAACCTACAACTCCCTCTGGGCACCAACATACACACACACACGCACACACACACACACACACAAGATGCACTCCACCATCATCCAGACTGTCTTTGGGCCTCACATCGGCTCAAACACCCCCTCAGTAAGGATTTTATTTGCATTCACAAAACAGAGCACCATGCATCACACATTGGTGCATTAATAAAGAATGTAACTAATGTGAAGTGGCAGGTGTGAATATAACGTCTCTGAACGTAGCTCATCCAATCAAATGTATAATGTATTACTGTTGCGAGTCTTTTGTTTTTAACTCAAGACTTATATAACGTGAAGCCGCTGTTTTTGCACTGATTTTGCATTTGATATGAATAGTCTTCTGGTTTGCATCCATCCAGTTCCATATAAACAGAAGAATGAAACGAGGCACTTTTCATTTGTTATGCATTTAAAACACTGGATTATACAAAAATAAATTTTACTAGATGGTTATGTAATCTTTAAGACATTTTTGGATTTAGTTTCTTGCCAAAATATTACATTACATACATGTATGCATTTTAGCAGCGCTGATGGCAAAGGTGAATTTTCAGCAGCTGTTACTTCAGTTTTCAGTGTCACATGATCCTTTAGAAGTCATTTTATTATGCTGATTTGGTGCTCAAGAAATATTTCTTATTATAAACGTTGAAAACAGTTTTCGCTGCTTAATGTTTTTGTGAAAACCGTGATACACTACAATTCAAAAGTCTAGTGTAACATTTCAAAAAAATAAACTAATACTTTTTCAGCAAGGATGTGTTAAATTGATCAAAAGTGGCAGTAAAGACATTTATAATGTTATAGAAGATTGCTATTTCAAATAAATACTGTTCTTTTGAACTTTCTATTAATCAAAGAATCCTGAAAAAATTTATGTTTCTACAAAAATATTAAGCAGCAATATGTTTCTATATTGACAATAAAAAGATCCATCATTAATAAATCATCACCAATGATAATTGATAATAACTGAGCAGCAAATCATCATATTTGAATGATTTCTGAAGTATTGTGACATGAAGACTGAAGTAATGGCTGCTGAAAATTCAGCTTTGCATCACAGGAACAAATTACGTTCTCAAATATATTCAAATAGAAAACAGTTCTTTAAGTTGTAATAATATCTCACAATATTACTGTTTTTACCGTATTTTTTTATTCATATAAATGCAGCTTGGTGAGTATAAGAGACTATAATATTATAGCACATAATTATAGTTTTAATATAATTCAAACAAACCAACTCATGGCTTCACTACAGGAACAAACCACCCATTAACGATGTGCGGATCTGGAAATATCAAGAGGGGTGTGAGAGGTTAATTGTCATTAGTCAATCTGTGTGATGGTGTAATCCCATCAAATGCATCACCCTGCAGGCTGCCTGACATGCACTTTCTATTCCTGCTCCTAGAAACGTTTTAGCATCAACAACACGCCCACCCTCTGGTTGCTGATGAAAAAGACCTCTCAGTGGAGTCTCAGGACCGTATGACAGCAAGCCACCTACACACACACGTGTTTAATGATTTAAAAAATGTGTAAAACGGAGTATTACAACAAAATATTTAAATTTGATCTTTTTCTCAAACAATATTTGCTTTTCAAAATGATAGATACAAAAAGTACGAAAAGCAAGTAGGTACAAAAATACAAATATTTTAAAACTTTAACCTTAAATTTTAAAAGAAATATTATGTTTATAAAATAAAAACAAAATAAATTAAGATAAAATATAAAATTAAAATTAAAAATGAGAGGAATTAAATTGTACAATATTGAAACAATTCTTTTAAATTATAATAACATTTCCCAATATTACCATTACTGTATTTCTGATCAAATAAATGCAGCCTTGGTGAGCATATTATCATATATATATATATAT